TTTGCCTCTATTACAAGTTTAATGAGTTTATTTAAAGAGACTAAAATACTTCTTCAGGAAATCAGTGAACATGGACCTAACCAACAATTTCGTGGTGATGCAGAGAGTAACTTTATTGCTATGATGTCTTTTGAGTTTGTGTTTGTATTGCTTTTGATGGATAAAATTATGGGATTGACCAACTTTCTCTGTCAAGTGTTTCAAAAAAAAAAACTCAAGATATTGTAAGTGCTTTAAACTTTGTTGAAAACACAAAATCACAGTTCCAAGATATGAGGGCACATGGCTGGGATGATTTATTCATGAGTGTGGTATCCTTTTGTGAACAACATGGTATTGATGTTCCTGATATGAGTTCTCGTTATATGATGGGCACACGTCGTTCTTGTCAACAAAAAGATTTTATTACAGTTGAACATTACTATCGCATTGATGTATTTAATGATGTGATAGATTGCATGTTGAGGGAGTTAAATGACAGATTTCCAGAGCAAACAGTTGAACTTCTTATTCTTAGCTCAGCATTGGATCCTCGTAATTCCTTCAAATCATTCAATATTGGGCATCTATGTAAACTTGCTGAGAAATTCTATCCGGCTGATTTCAGTCCAAGTGACTTAGAAGGTTTGGAAATTGAGTTGAGGTATTTTCAAAATGATATGCATCGCCTTCCCTGCTTTAAGGACCTCACCACTCTTTCTCAGTTATGTCAACAATTGGTGGAAACAACTTTGGCAGAAAACTACCATTTGCTTTACAGATTGATTCAGTTGGTGTTGACTCTTCCTGTTTCTACAGCAACAAAGGAACGAGCTTTTTCATGTATGAGAATTATTAAGAATAGACTTCGAAGCACCATAGCTGATGAATTACTTGCTGATTGCATGATTCTCCACATTGAAAGAGAGTTTACTAATAGTATCGATAATGAAGAGATAATTGAAGAATTTAATATTTCTAAGCCTAGTATGGTACAATTTTAGATTAAAATAGTTTAGTTTTTAGCCAAAAATAGGAAAAAATAAACATTCAGAGATCAAGTAATGAGACAAAACTTTTCAACGGTTATAATTGAAAAATCATGATTTAACGGTTATTTTAACTCTGATTTTGATGATTTTTTTACAGCTACACTCTTTGACACTATATGAATACAATGAACTAATTCGATCGTCAATTTAAAAAATATATTTTCTAACAAAAACCTAATCCGAACAACAATAATATATTTTTCTAACAAAAATCTGATCCGATCTAAAATAAAAAATTTAAAGCTACTTAATAAAAATATATATACCGTTTAATTTCTTAAGTGTTATGCATACAAAATAAAAAAACAAAAATAAATTGGTTTAGGCGACGGAATGTTTGGATTACGCCATGCAAAGATTTTAAAAAATAATTTTTTTATTTTATTTATTTTTATAAGGACTGTGTGCGACGAAATTTATTGTTTTGTTGCGCAAAGGCACTTTGAGTGACGATGTATTGTCGTCGCACAAAGCCACTTTGCGTTACAAATTGTTTTTCGTAGCTCAAAATTTGGTCGCGCAAGACTTTGAGCGACGATGTACTGTCGTCACGCAAAAGTTTGTCGTGCAAAGTCACTTTGCGCGACGAATTATTTTTCGTCGCGCAAAAGTTGGTCGTGCAAGGTTTTGAGCGACAAAGTTTTGAGTTTCATCACGCAAAATTTGGTCGCACAAAGGTTATTTTTTACTAGTGATTGTCATTAGTAGGCATAGGTAGGCTAAATTAAATTTTATGCTGATAAAATAACAATTCACATGGGCTATAGCCCAGGTTCTAAGAACCGTCCCTTCTAGGGACAGTCCCTGCTTGAAATTGTGTTTATTTGGGGATCCCTCAAATGCTATTGCAGTTCCAAATTGTAGAGATAATGGATGTTATTATAGTGGATTTAAGGTCAATGTTAACTTTGTGCTACCATTGCACAATAACAATGATGGCGGGGTGCCTGCTAATTGCAAAGACATAATAGAGTACAGTCACAGTGCTAAAGCCTAGTGACAATAGAGTGCCTTTACTAGGTACAATGAAGTTACAATGGGGTAACATCAAAGTGTATTAGTTGGGTATTATTGCATTATCACTCAAACAGTTTGATTATATATCAAGCATGTTCACTCCGTCCACGGTGACTAGGGAGCTTCTCTTGTGCAATCAAAACACAAATATGTAATAATAGTTGGGTGTTATTACATTGTCACTCTCAAATGACTAAATACTGAGATGTCTCTTAGTAATGACTTCTTG